TTCTTCGCTTCTCGGAGCTCCCGAACGTCCACACGTGACGACAGGCCCTTTCGAGTGATTTAAAATGGCGGCGGATGCCCGTGCAGCCTCCTCCCACCAAGTCTACAGTCACTCAACGAAAGCACACCAAAACAGTGGAAACGGTTGGTGCTGTTGCCGGGCAGATGAGAGGACCGCGAAGCCAGCGGCAAACGCCCGCAAGGCCTTGGGCAAATTACAGTCAGGGGAATCAATGATGGAACGCAGACACGCTCCCCACCCTCCCTCGCCAGCGGCCGTGGGACAAACTATCTCTGCGCCCTGAACCGCTTGTGACCAGCAGAAGGCAGGGGCAGCCCGGAAAGCCTCTCAGCAATTCAACCAAACCTTCATGGAAAATACTTCTGATCTTTGACAGTTAAGATGAAAGGTGGTCAAAACGGGATCAAATACCCCCGTCTATCTGTCCTTTGACTGGAGCACTCCCAAAACAGTCCCAACGGGCGGACTGAGTTTTTAAACTGAACATGGAGAGGCAAAGGGAGGCGTGGTCAAGAAAAAACATCACTCAGTCCAAGGGCAGATAGGCTGTGTTAACCCATGCTTGGATTCTCCAAGCAGTGCACTGGAGAATCAAATCAGTCAATCCTAAAGAAATCATCCCTGACTGGTCTTTGACAGGACAGTAACAGCACATCTGGAATACTGCAATTCCAGGAGTCTAAACCATACGAAGAATAACTGCAGCTTTTGGTCTGTCTAGTCTAAAGAAAAGAAAAATTAGGAATGACATGATAGCAGTATTTCAGTATTTGAGGGGCTGCCATAAAGAAGAAGAAGTCAAGTTATTCTCAAAGCATAGAGGGCAGGACAAGAAATAATGGTTGGTAACTGATCATAGAGTAGCAACCTGGAATTAGGAGACACTTAAGTACAATTACTGCTTGCCTTCAGAAATCGTGGGTGTTCCATCACTGGAGTTTTTAAGAAGAGACTGGACAGTCACTTGTCTGAGATTGTATAGGTCTCCTGCTTGAGCAGGAGGCTGGATTAGAAGACCTCCAAGGTCCCTTCCAGCTCTATTCTATTCTAACAAGATGCTGAAACTGAAGCTCAAATACTTTGGTCCCCTTCTCCAGTTACATGATAAAATTTTAGGCACTCAGAAACTGGTTCATATTTGTGACCATTTGCAGTATTCCATGATCACATCAGCAAAATTTATGATGGTTTGCACTCCCTTAATAATCAAATGATTCACTTAACAATTTCTACAAAAATGTTGTAAAATCAGGTGCAGTAAAATGGTGACCCTCTTAGCAACTGGCACAACTTATGGCTGTAATGCAGGAGTCAATTATGGTTGTAGGTTAATGACCAGCTGTATATTGTATCCTTGATCTATATTCCTGGAGTGAAGTTATTGCATTATAGTTGGTTTTTTCTTGAAATTAATTACTTCAATTTTTATGGATATTACAGAACAAAAATTAAATAGTATCTAACAGCTTGCTGACTACAGAAATTGGGGGGGGGGGGGTAAGCAACAGAGTAATATCCTAAAAACTTGGCTTTTGCTTTTGCAGGATTTTATTAATTGTTTATGCTATTTGATGATCAAACTACAGTTCTGGATTTCTATGAAGTGCTGGCAAGTCAAAGGTAATAGATAGTTGATATTTGAAATGACAGTTTTTTTTAAAAAAAATATTAGTTTCATATGCCTTTTATTACACAGAACATTACTTTAGAAATCAAATGTGGGGACTTGTATCACTTGACATATCATGAGAGAACACGTATATATGGTGCCCCAACCACCAAATATACTGCTCATGTCACCTATATATCCCTTTTAGGCTTAAATATCTAAAATCTGTATTGAAACACAACCTTTGGGACAAGAACCATAGTTTTAATCATTTAGTGTCTAACTCTTGGATAATTTATAGACAAGTACTCTCCATGCTAGCCTGCCAAACATAGCTTCTTTCAGTTGTTGGATGTTCATCTTTCTATCATGGTATCAAGGCAACAAGCTCTTTATTTGCACCTTCCTGATTCTTAGCACCATTGACTTCTCCAATGAAAGCATGACATAGCCAAAATAAACCAGACATAGGTTGACATTTTGGCTTCTAGAGATGTTTCTGGTTTTATACAGCTCAGCACCACTCTGTTAATTGTTATGGCTATTCATGAATCAAAGATTGTTCTCTTTCCACTTGAGGTCTAATGTATACATTGTTAGCAGAAATGCAAAGTTTATAGACAAGGCAATTCAGCTAAGAATCCATTATATTGAACAGACCAGGATATTGTGAACAGGCGTTGTTTTTATTTGAACACTATTTGTTTTTAGCACATATATATTTCATGTATTTTTTGCCTATTTCATTTTAGAAAATATTATATTTTACCTTTGATTAGCCTGATAACTAAGTAAATAAATAATAAACTATATATATAGCAATGCATTATTTTAGAAAATATATTTTTTAAATAATAGCATAAAAGCTTTTTAAATAAATAAATAATCTGCTTAATTTATCTACAAACAAATAAAAGGGGTACTTTTAATAAATGAGGTCTTGCCTATTTTTATCACTTGTCATTAACAAAAAAAGTAAAGCTTTCATACCTTATGATTAAAATACTTCTCAAATTTTAATCTCGCCAATTCAACACATTGGGGCCAGTTTCTTGGTCTTCTACCCAGGCACTTAATCACTTGGAAAGAGCCTTCCAAACTTTCCCCAGATTTTATTCTCTAGAAAACATAAAAACAAGCTTTGAGCATATCTCACAAATTACATGTAATTAAAACATATGTATTTCCACAGTATGTATTAATACAGAATTATAATCAGTAGTAAACATGCAAGATAATAACCAAAGATATATAGCATAACAGAAATTTATATTTTTGCCCTAACTATATTCAATCCCAAATCTGTACGCTGTGGAAAATTCCTAGTTTCTATGTTATATATTTTCTTTTGAACATGAAATTTTATGGTTTAAGATATATAAAACTAAGTATTTATGTTATACTTTGAATTCATTCCTTTACACTAACACATTATAACCTTAGATCACAATTAAATTCTAGCTTTCAATTCAGTAAGAATCAAAATTTATATCTATCTCACTGGGTACCTTAAAGTACAACTTTTTATCTTATAGATGATGTAATTATTTCACAATCAAAAAATATAGAAAGAGTAGAATGTTGAGCAACTGCAATCATGAAATTATTCAAAAATTGTCCCATAAGTGATTTTCAAAAGGCAACTGAACTTTCTTGGATTTTTTCTTTGAAAATATTTTATTTCTCATTCAAAAGAAGCTTCTTCAGTTTAGTTTAATTTTTCAGTTTAAGAACTGAAGAAGCTTCTTGGATGAGAAATGGAATATTTTCAAGGAAAAAAAAATCCAACAAAATCCAGTTGCGTTTTGAAAAGCGACTTTGAGACCCTGATGACTGAGAATCTCCATAAACATTTACTCAGAAGTTACAATTTTATCATCACTAATATCACTGAAATATTCACAGTAAGTTTTAAAATGAAATTTTACCCAATTCATTTCAAAAGATCATTCTAGTTCAAACTTCTGCATAGCTCTTTGGAAGAATATGAACATGTACTATAGATTTAATTATATTAAACAATTAATATTCCCTCAAATATGTTAAACACTACATAAAATTTACTTATTAAATGACACACATAGTAATTCCCCATGTAATTTTAATCATAATTTAAAATATTACCTGTAGCACTTCTTCTGCTGATGGATACGTTTGCCAAAACTTGTTAAACAGGGAAGGCTTGTGTGAAAAAGCACTTTCAAACTAAAAATAAAATAAAATAAAATGTTATGAAAAAATACTACTGCACATCTACTCATTTTCTTCCTACAAAAAGAAACCAGGATTGCAATTCATTTCCATTTTTTCCCCCCATGGAGCTTGTCTTTCTAATTTGTATGTATCATGCTCATGCTAAAATTTACCTTGTCTCTTGCCCACTGTATTGTGTGTTCAGTAGCAGCTGGGAAAGACTTTATTGTGCAAAATGGTATTTCTTCTTCAGGTGGATCTCGCTGAACATTAAAAAAAAGTGTGCACACAAAAAAGATTATATAGACACAAACATATACAAATACACTATGATTTGGTATTTCATCTCTAATTCAGTTAATTTCACAGCCTGGATTAAATGGAGTTAATTTTTAAATATATACATATAGGAGCCAATTTTCTTTCAAATCAATACATCTCTCACATTGGATGTTAAGAATTACTTCACTGAGATAAAATTAAAACAATGACAATGAGAATAATCAAGGCTTGCCTCTAGAATTTGTGGTTATTCTGTCACTGGTTGAATTCAAGACAAGATTGGACAGCCATTTTTTGGGAATGACAAAGGGTCTCTTGAGTGGGGATGGACTAGAAGCCCTCCAAGGTCTGTTCCAACCCTGATATTCTATGTTCTTAGTAAATCGTCTTAGCAGTGCTTTAGTCAGAATGCCTTAACTAGTAAATTATATTTTCAAAGAAAACTAATGTTTATGGAAACCATAAATTCCAACATGTATTGGCAAAGAAAAACGAATACTGAAATACTTTACCTTAAATTAACAATCAAACTTCTTACTATAAGGTTTAGTTTTTGATTATTTTAGATATCAATTATAATATTGTAAGTTTGCTTTTATGTTTTGAGTGTGTGTCTTAAAATGGTTTCCAAAAGCCGAAGAATTTGACATGTTTGCTCAAGAATATTTTGACCTTATATACAACATTTCTAAAAATATCAGTTGATTTTTAAAGCATGAAAAATTATCTACTTCAAAAGAAATCAAATAAAATTTATGTTCTCCAACCCAAAGGAAAGCATTTTTATGGCCACTTACATGACTATTGTAAGATTCTGTTAGATGAGGCACAATTACTTCTGTATGCCCTTTGGTTCCCATTGTTCCAGAATCTAAGAGAGGACGTAAACTTGCTAGGCAGCGACTTTACAATGGAAACAAAGAATAAAAATATTTTTGAGTAATAACAGAACACAGAATAGAAGAAAAATAGAATGATATGAGTTCACAACTCAGCTCAGACTATCTGTCTGAAAAGAGAAAATTAGAGCAACAAATTCTAAATCGCCACATTGAATCAGATAATTGATACATTTATTAAATATTTATATCCTGATTTTGATAGCCAAATCTGTTATTAAATTCTGCCCCTGCACATGAAGCCCCAATTAAGCAACCAAGAGGGAAGGGAAACCATTTTAAATATGATTTATTGGAAACCTTTCAGAATAAAAATGTTTTTCTCTATTCAAAAGAGGAAACTGGTTCAAAGCTTGGAATTCCCTTTAATAATTAGCACAACAAAGAAAAGTACAAAGAAAAAGTTGATTGGATAAAATAAAACATCCTGCATAAAAAATCAGTTAAATTAAGTTAAATATGTTACATGTTAACATCATACAATACCAAACATAATCATTTAAATGAGATTTAGCATACTGGTAGGTAGAGATTTTAGAATGTTAATTAATAAAAATCTCATAAGGTTACAGAGTCTATGAAGAGAAAAACCAGATGTTACTAACACTGCAGGAGCTCTTTCTTTTACAATTGATAAGGTGCAGGTATCTTGTTATCTATAGACACTTCTTTTATTTTTCAAGCCTGGGGAAGTAAAAGTAATTTATCTACTTCCAATTACTGAGGCAGGAGACTTCTAAGGAAAATAAAATAAAACTAAATTAAAGTATAAGGAAGCCCAAGTTGCTTGAATTACATAGTCCATGTTACTTGGCCCTTACCTTGCCTTTAGAAAAAAGGCCCATATCTTTTAATATATTATTATTCTGACAGTGGTTTACATTTTGCAGTTAAAACAATATCAAGGTGACACATATATTTAAAGTTATATTAGAAAAGACAAACCACATCTTAGCATAATATATAAACCTAACAACATGATCTTTTAGGATTTTTTTTATATCTACTGCACAACACATTTTCTGAAATACAAACCTTATCAATAAACCACAGATACAACCAACTATGGCTTAGCAATTATAACCGTAGTACTTACACTTATGTAGTACTTCACTGTGCTTTACAACCCTCTCTAACTGGTTTACGGAATTGGCATATTGCCCCCAACAATCTGGGTCCTCATTTACCAAACTTAGAAAGTTGGAAAGCTGAGTCAACCTTGAGTCTCTCAGAATCGAACTTCTGGCAGTCAATAGAATTAGCCTGTAATACTGCATTCTAACCACTGCACCATACTGCTCATGATTTAACAATTAATTATATTTATTCTGTAGAAATTATAAATGTCAAGGACTATACAAAACATTTTGATTCAGAATGTTTTAACCTTAAAATGACCTCTTTGAGTGTTTCAAGATGGAATCAGTTAGCAAGCAAACTAGAAGAAAAGTGTGTCTCTTTCCAAAAGCTAAATAGTTATGTAAGTACTACATAAATTTATATAAAATTTATAATGACTCACTAAAACAAGCAACATTTCCATTACTGGGGATTGAGTCCACTAAATAAAGATTTGAAACTCATTTTTTTTATTATGAAGAGTCCTATAAGTAGCTCAATCCTAAACTGTTGACACTACAATCCACATCTTAATTTCAGTTTGATAGGAAAGTGGAAAGCAGTGAAATTGTTTCAATATAAGTCTATTGAGGGACTTCAAGAGACATCCATTCATTACTGAAATTATACAGCATAAACCAAGATAAATTATTTTGAATTAAACAAAGCTATATATAACACAAAGCAATGATTAATCTCAGGAAACTAAAGATAAATTACTACCTGGGAGGGGAAGAGAAAAAGCAAGAAAAAAACAAATCAACCTCTGATCACAGATTTACCTGTCAATATACCTCCTGGCTTCCACATTGTCTAATGCAGTTACAATTACATCTTGCTTGGTGTAGAAATCATCATTGTATATGTTCTCAGTAGCTGGGCACACTTTGTTAAGGTATGAGTCTATTTTTATCTCAGGATTGATGCTACGTGTTGCTGCTGCTGCAGTACAACTCTTGGGTTTCTAAACAAAATTGAAGTTAATCTGCTTAATAGTTTTCATGGGAACAATCCCTATAAAATGAAGCTTCATCTTATAGTTTCACATTAGTATCATATTCAGGAGCATCAATGATTTAATATTATAGCATGAATAATTGCAAATCACATTAATGATACCAGGATATAGCAACAATTTAAAGCTAATGGCAATCATATCAACATTACTCTTTTGAAAAATCCCCAAATCTTGCAACGTGAAGGGTACAGGTAGTCCTTGATTAACAGTAATTGGAATTACAATTTCTGTTTGTAAGCAATGTGGCCATAAAGCATGAAGTCATGTGACTGCATTGCTTAGCAGCCATAATCCTGGAAGTCCCCATTGGCATTATTAAGCGAGAAGGTCATTAAATGAGTTCCTTACATGATTGCAACTTCCACCTTCCTGTCAGTATCTAACAAACAAATTAATAGTGAAGTTTGCAGGAAGTTGCAAGTCCCAGTCAGAACAAGCCTTACCTTATGTGGCTCACAAGCAGCCAATGGCAGATGAATGCTAGAGAGCAGGTCTGGGTGCAAAGGGTGATGCAGTGGCATGGCATGAAGGTAAGCAGACGGGGGTCAATGCCATAGCATGTAGGGAAAAGAGGTTGAAGGCTACAGTCACTCATCAAGGTAAGTAACATAGATTTTATCAGCCTCTTTCCAAGCACCCGTTTTAAAAGGATCGAGATTAGAAGGCAGAGTTGGAGAATTTAGTTTCAGCACAATTTTTTTTGGTGGGGGGGAGATCAACAAGACTGTCCCTCAAAGCTTTTTATTTACTTTATTAAAGAAATTTTGGTTTTTGGAGGAGGGAAGGGATTAAACAAGGGACAGGTTTAGCTTCTGCCTTTGCATGCAGACAGCTGGCTTCCAGAGGCTAGCAGGAGTAGGGAGAGGTTTGCAGTTTCCTGACAGCTGGCTAATCGGGGCAGAGACCCAATTCATAATCTCACCTTCACTGGCCAAGTACAGACTTGTTTGGCACTGGAACACAGTGTTAGTCCCTAATCTAGCTGAGCTCTTTTCCTGCTCCCGCTGCTCCCCTTCTAGGCTGTCTGGCTTTGCAAAGTCTTTTCCTGCTGGTTTGCCTCATTTATGGATCCAGCTGGGTGATGGGGATCCCAGAACATCCCCCATCCACGAGGTATTGCATACTCACTTAATGACCATTCATTTAATAATAGCATCACAGACAGTAGGGTGTGGGGTCATTCAGTGAGGCTTTTTTACTTAACATTGTCACCATTTATGGCCATAATTGGCAGGCTTCATTAAGGATTACTTGTATATAGTTTAAATATGAAACCCCACCTGTTATATAAAAAGATTACATGGTGAAAAAATACCAAATATGAAAGATAAAAAAGAATTTAGAAAATTTATCCATCTCAGCCGAAATAAAGGGTCACATTGTCAGTAACATGGTTTGTTTGGTACATATCCATTCTAGTACTCATCACACTGCCCAGAACTAATTAATATTCAATTTGATGAATACCGAAGTACTAGTCTAACAAAGCCAAACATTTGCTCCACATTTAAAATATATCCAAATACAACTTCCTAATTAAAATAGCTATTTTTTAAACAAATCACTGTAACATTTTGTCCACATCATGCAAACCTACCTGTATGTGATGAGGCCGGAAAAGAAACTGCCTATTCAAATTGGACTTTTCTATTAAGTCTGGATCTGTTATTTCAACCTGTATATTGGACAATTGATGAAATTATGAATCAGCAGTAAAGTGATCAAAACTGTTACATCAGAATCAGTATTTGAAATATTCTGTTTTCTTGTCTCACATCATTTTTAAAATGGGAACATTTCCAGAATATTGTATATTGTGTTCCTTTACTTAAACTATGCAAGTCATCCCGTTAAAAAAAAACTTTGTTACTACCTTTTTTTAAAAATGAACTATACATTAAAAATAATGTGAACTAATTTTCACATGTGAGAACTCAACAATCCAAAGCTTGGCTCCAACTTCTAGTAGAGCCAAGAGCCTTGGCAAAGAGCCAAGGTGGCGCAGTGGTTAAATGCAGCACTGCAGGCTACTGCTAGATCAGCAGGTCAGCGGTTCAAATCTCACCGGCTCAGGGTTGACTCAGCCTTCCATCCTTCCGAGGTGGGTAAAATGAGGACCCAGATTGTTGGGGGCAATATGCTGACTCTCTGTAAACCGCTTAGAGAGGCCTGAAAGGCCTATGAAGCGGTATATAAGTCTACTGCTATTGCTATTGCTATAGTATATCCAAGTCATAACAGATTTGTTGTTTCAACATTATTGGAAAATGCATTGCCACTAGAGGTAATCCTTACTTAACAACTGCCCTGTTTAGTGACTATTTGAAGTTACAGTGGTGTTGAAAAAAGTAATTTTATAAACAGCCTTGCACTTATAACTGTCACAGAGTCCCTACGGTCACGTGATCAAGATTTGGGCACTTCACAATTGGTAGCTGTTCATGATCATCATAGTGTCCTTTGGCTATGTGATTGTCATTTGCATGTTTCATAACCAGCTTCCAACAAAGACATTAAAAAAAACCATTAAAATTATAGTTGCAGAAGTGATGTCATAAATCAATCCTGGACACGATACCTTGATTAATGACTGTATTGCTAGTGACAGACTTGCCAGTTCCAATTGTGATTGTTAAATAAAAATTATCTGTATAGTTAGAAGAACAGCAATTAGGAGGGAATATGAAACATACCTTGCCCCTTTCTTGGCCTGCACCAACACCAAGGAGTGCAAAATTTTTTAACATTTCACAGCCTATTGCACCACACCCAACCTAAAATGTCAAAGCATGACAATAATATAACATTTCCAACCTTTAATTAACATAATTAAGAATTAGCTACTTTTTTTTGAAAAATTAAGAAAACATTAACAATTGTCCCTAAAAAGACCTAGAGGTGCTAATTTTAGAGAGTTTTTGAAATATATAATATAAGCTAACATGTGAAATATATCAAAAACAATACAGATCCCTATTAACCATTACTGCTATTTTTAAATAAATGCGCTGTATAATGTAAACGACCATTGACTTACCTAAACGGTCCTTCTATGTGCGCTGCAAGGGGAATCCAAGCATGGGTTAACTTTGTCCATTAGCCTAGAGACTGAGCCTCCTCTGATTGGACTGGTTCAGTTTTGCACGAAGGATCAGCCGGCTTGAAAGAAGCAAATAAATCTAGAAGTCAAGGTAAGTCAGAATGTCATAGGAAAACATGGAAGTCCAGGCCCAAGACAGCCAAAGCCAAGGACGGGTTTGGATTCCCCTCGCAGCACACATAGAAGGACCGTTCAGGTAAGTCAACGGTCGTTCTCCTATGCACTGCTTGGGGAATCCAAGCATGGGACATGCCAAAGTAATAAACTTCAGGGGTGGGAGCGAGGCTGGTCTGGTCCCGTAGATGAAGAAGCTACCCTTTGCAGCATGCGCCGTCCAAAGGATGCCTCAGCCGAGGCATAAACGTTCGCCTTGTAGTGACAGATAAAGGGTGATGGCGATGACCAGGTTGCTGTCCTGCAGATGCCTTCCACCGAGCCCTGCGTTGCTCAGGCTGCCATCGTGGCCGCATTCCTAGTAGAATGGGGAGTGATACGACTGGGAACTGGTCGGGACTGGCAGTCATAGGCTAGGGCAATACATGCCTTTAACCAGCGGCCGATGGTATGCGATGATGCCTTGTGGCCCATGGTGCCGGGATGGAAGGACACAAACAGGGCCTCCGTCTTTCTGAACTACGCAGTGCATCTCACATAATGGCGAAGCGAACAACGAACGTCGAGATGATGCCAATGCCATTCTCGGGGGTGAGATGGCCGTAGACAGAAATCTGGGAGAGTAATTTCTTGGGACCTGTGGAACCACGAGTTGACTTTCGGAATAAAGGTCGGGTCCAAACGTAGTATGACCTTGCTCGGATGGAAGATGCAGAGGTCTTCTCGGATGGAGAGCACTGCCAGCTCAGACACACGCCGGGCCGATGTAATGGCTACCAAAAAGACAGTCTTAAGAGTCAGTAACCTGAGAAAGATGGTCTGAATAGGCTCGAATGGAGCTGCCATAAGGGCATTTAGTACTAGAGAGAGATCCCAGGTGGGATAGTGATGATTGATAGGCGGGCTAAGGTTCGCCACTTCAGGAAGGCCTGCACCCCCAGGTGTTGAGCTATGGGTTGTCCTTACCCACCGCCAATTACGGGAGACAGAGCCGCAATTTGACGGTGGAGGGTGTTCGGTGTTAGTCCTTTGTCCATGCTCATCTGTAGGAAGTCCAATACCTGTGGTATGGTTGCTCCGGTTGGTTCCTCATCCATTGCCTGACACCATCTGCAAAATGCTTGCCAGGTAGCCTCGTAAATGCGGGTTGTTGAAGGGCGGCGAGGCGCCTGGATCGTGGAGATGACTTTATCAGAGAAATGCTGCTGACTCAGGATCACCCGCTCACGTGCCACAAGGCTAACTGTAACAGCTTTGGATTCGGGTGGATGAGAGCTCCTTGCAAGAGGGGTATCTTGTCGTCCGGAATTCTCCATGGCGAGAGACAGATAGATAAGGTCCGCGTACCAGGGGCGTTGTGGCCACATCGGTACAACCAGCAGCACTTCCGCCTGCTCTGTCGGAATCTTCTGGATGACCAGCGGCACAATTGGTAGAGGCAGAAGGCATAAAGGAGGCCCACCAGCCAAGGGCTTCAGAGAGTGTTGGTGTCTTCTGCTCCTGGTACCTGGAACTTGGTGTAATAATGCAGCAGGTGTGTGTTGTCGGGTTGGCGAACAGGTCCACCTGCGGGTGACCGAAGCGGTGGGACAGTTCTAGGAACAGGGCTGAGTACAAGCACCACTACGCCTGATCCACCGTGGCCCTGCTCAGACAGTCTGCTTGGACGTTCGCAGTGCCTGATATGTGTTCTGCTCGGACTGACAACAGATGGTTCTCCACCCAGTGGTGTAGGCATTCTGCTTCCATCATCAGGGCTTTGGACCTCGTGCCCCCTTGGTGGTTGATATGCACCTTGGAGGTCACATTGTCAGTGAATATCAGTACATGGTTGGACTGGTGACCATGTCTCAAAACTCGCAGAGGTCTAGGCAAATGGCCCGTAGCTCCAGCCAATTGATGCTGTTGTTCAGCTCCTGGAAAGTCGAACGACCCTGCGCCACTCAATTCAGGGCGTGGGCTCTCCACCCAAATTGGCTCGCATCCGTTGTAACCACAATCCGCTCCGGTTTCTTGAAAAGGCATCCCTTGAGGATGCAGGATGACAGCCACAAATGGAGCGATAGGGACACCTTGTTGGTAAGCAAGCCCTGGTCAGAGAGTGACTGGTGTGAGCCCTTTGGAATGTGAGTAGATACCACTGCAGTGGTCGTGCATGGAACCGTGCCCAAGGTACAACATCTATGCAAGTTATCATCTTCCCTAGAAGTTGGGACAATATAGCAGTAGACTTATATACTGCTTCATAGGCCTTTCAGGCCTCTCTAAGCGGTTTACAGAGAGTCAGCATATTGCCCCCAACAATCTGGGTCCTCATTTTACCCACCTCGGAAGGATGGAAGGCTGAGTCAACCCTGAGCCGGTGAGATTTGAATCGCTGACCTGCTGATCTAGCAGTAGCCTGCAGTGCTGCATTTAACCACTGTGCCACCTTGGCTCAATACCGCAAGTGACCTCTGCTTGAGCACTTGACTCACCAGGGATTGCAGTCTCTGCTGACTCTCCCTCTCCCACACAAGTCTCCGAGTTGATGATTGTCCCGAGATGTAGCAGGGACGTAGTCGGGTGCAGGTGTCTCTTTGGAAAGTTCAGCATGAATCCGTGATCCTGTAGGATGTCGATCGTCAGCTATAAATCACGATTAGCCTGGTTCTATGAAGACGATAAGATTAAGATGTCGTCGAGATAACAATGGACTCTTATGGAAACCGACCTCAGCGAGGCTGCAACCACTGCTAGCAGTTTGGTCTGTGGGGCTGATGATAGGCTGAATGGTAAGGCGTGATACTGGAAATGATGTTCCACAAAGTAGAAGCACAGAAACTTTTGATGGGTTGGATGTATTGGAACGTGCAAGTAGGCCTCCTTGATGTCAATGGAGGTGAGGAGATCGCCTTGGCGAATGCTCGGCAGAATACTCTTGAGTGATTGCATTTTGAATTTTTGGTATTTGAGGTAGAAATTGAGTTTCAAGTCTAGGATGGCCCGCCATCCTCCCGAGGCCTTGGAAACTAGGAAGAGTATAGAGTAGAAACCTAGACCCTCTTGTCCCCTTGGCACCTGTTGTATTGCTCTGATGGAAATGAGATGCTGGATTTCCGTGTCCATCAGGCGCTGCTTTACCTGGCACCTGGGTACCGGTCATTTGATGAAACGTCTCAGGGGAATGGCCAGGAACTCCAGAGTGAGGCCCAGCCTCACAGTCTGAAGAGCCCAGGCGTCAGAGGTTGTGGCTTCCCATTGGCGAACGAAGGTAGTTAAGCGCCCGCCAGTAAGGCCAACCACTAGCGAGTCACCGGTACCTACGAAAGAACCAGTTGTTGGCGCCACGAAAGGGCCGCTGGCCTGGGCCTGTTATTGGTATTGGTTCCTACCTCTGTCCCTGTTCTGAAACCTGTCCTGGGACTGGGAAAAAGATATATTAGATAGGGAGTGTAGGGGAGGGATGAGTATCCCAACTCCCCAAAATGAAAGGGCTGCCTTCGAGGATACGGTTGTTGCCTCCGATCCATGCGCCTAGCGGTCGAAGGCAGCACCTTTCGCTTGTCCCTCATTTCAATCAGTATAGGATCCAGTGCTGCACCAAATAGGGAACTGCCCTTGAAGAGGGTGGAGGCAAGGCGCCATTTGGATCGTACGTCCGCCTGCCAATGGCATAGCCATAACAGGTGACGAGAACCTATGTTGGATGCCACAGCTCAGGACGTGAACTTGGCCGCGTTGAGTGTGGCATCCGAGAAGAATTCCAAAGCTGCTACCAGTTTGACCACATCCTGATGAAGGCACAGATCCTCTGGACCTAACCTCTCCTGTAGCTGCCTTAACCAAACTAAGGAAGTTCTATTGAAGAATGAAGCTGCCGTAGCGGCATGCAATGCCCAGGCAGCCACCTGGTGCATTTTGCAAATAATGAGTTCAAACTCTGGGGTATCCCCCAGTCTGCTGGGAGACAGCTGTGAGAGTGGCCGGTTTGGGGCGACAAACTGATCCCCAACCGCGGCAAGGCAACACAAAGGCAGCGAACCAACCTCCCCACAGCGGCGCACCCCCACCTCCAGCAAGGAGGTTCCTTGGCCTTGAAGGCTCCGGGAACGCCAAAATCCACTCGTCACTGTAACCAAGGAAAAATGAACCTCTTGCAGAGATATTTACCTTGAAGGGAATTCAATCTGGTAAAGTGGAATCCAAGCTGAAATAATAATGATGAATTTGTCTAGTAACCTAGAGAAAATTATTTTGCGTCCCTTTAGGCTGAACTGAGTTAAAAAACTGAACCAGTCCAGTCAGAGGAGGCGTGGCCAGCAATTTGCATAACTCAGTCTCTAGGCTATGGACAAAGTTAACCCATGCTTGGATTCCCCAAGCAGCGCACAGGAGAACTACATGTTCTAGTGCCTAAGATTAAATTTTAATTAATAAACAGTACCATAATTTTTAAAACAGATGATCTCTAAATTTAAATCCCAAGAACAGAGCCCAAATTGTCTATGAAAAGTCATTTAGCTTTCCATTAAGAAATCCCCACTGACAAGAGTTAACCTCAAAGTCATACTTACTAAGAAAACATTGAGATTCTTTAATTTCTGGCACAAGGAATCTCCAATGCAGACTCTTAGAGCATCGTATCTATCTCCCCTATAAAAGTCAGAGGATGTGAAAAATGAAAAATATTTCAAGAAACATATTTCAAAATTATTTCATACTATTAATACTCAATTCTTAGGAGTTTAAGCCACATATTGGCAACCTACAGACTGTATGAACATGTCATCCATGTTTTACCCTATTTTTTATATTTAAAATTAGTGTACATACTTTCAGACTATATGGAATAAAGCTTTAGAGCAGCCTTTTCCAATTTCTATGTTGCTATGTTAGCTAAGATAATGATAATTCTAACATCTGCAGGACCACAGAATGGGATTAAGCACTGGATTTAGATTTAGAAAATTGTGATGACTGTAACTTTATTGCTTGCATCCTTATGATTTATATTGTTTCCTAGTATGATTTGATTAATTACTTGCACCCTATGACTATCATTAAGTGTTGTACCTTATGATTCATGACAAATGTATCTCTCCTTTTTGGTACACTGAGAGCATGTGCACCAAAGACAAATTCCTTGTGTGTCCAATCACACTTGACCAATAAAGAATTCTATTCAATGCTATTCTATTCTATAAATATTATGAAGAAAAATAATTAATGAAATAAAAAAAGTTCATTAAGTATTTACCTTGGAAGGAATTCTTCATCATGAACTTTTTCTGGAAATGTGACTAATTCCAATGCATCAATATACAGCTATAGATAAAAAGAAATGCCGTGATCACAAATCACAAAGTTAGATTCCAAACAGGACTGTATATTAGGACACTGCAAATTATTTTAAAACACCTTTTTACCATGTGGAATAGAGAAATGAAAGTCTTCTGAAAGAACTCACTCAGCGGGTCACACGCTCGACCTCGTATTCCTCTCGGAGCAGTGGAGTTACGATCTTGGTCTGAGG